CCATACAGCATGGATGTCCACTTCTGCTTCTCGTACATACAGAGCAATCCCAAATACAAGAGAAATATTAGTAAGTATGAGTCTTGCAGGTATCATTCTGATATGTAGTTTTGTTGCCATTGACATTGGTTGCATACTTAAGGGTTGAAATGCAAAGACAAGATTTGGTTTGGACAGATTTACATGATAGACAGTCGAGTTGAGTGCATGGAGACCTTAAAGCAGGGGCATTTGGAAACTCGGGCACTGCCCGAGGGCCCGGGGTCAGTAGGGGGCCCCTTGAGATGCCCCTGGTACCTTTTTCATAGGCTTTTTTGAGTTTGGGCAAGGACACAGGGGCCACATGATCCCCTATTGCCCGGGGGCCCCATGAGTTGTCAGTTCGCCCCTGCCTTAAAGTGTATATTTAAAGCCCAAAGAAACATTTTTTCTTTACATCCTGTCCTACAGACACAACAGAAAGTGTGAGATCTCTACAGACCAGTCATGGTCAACCAGAGTTCTGTGGAACCTTAGAGTACCTCCAGAGATTGCATGACCTGTGGCTGATAGACAGTCAAGTTGAGCTGAGTGTATGGAGACTTTAAAGTGTATATTTAAAGCCCAAAGAAACATTTTTTCTTTACGTTCTGTCCTACAGACACAACAAAAAGTGTGAAATAAATCTCTATAGACCAGTCATGGTCAACCAGGGTTCTGTGGAACCTTAAGAGTACCTCCAGAGATTGCATGACCTGTGGCTGATAGACAGTCAAGTTGAGTTGAGTGCATGGAGACCTTAAATGTATATTTAAAGCCCAAAGAAAAATGTTTTCTTTACGTTGTCCTACAGACACAACAGAAAGTGTGAAGAAATCTCTATAGACCAGTCATGGTCAACCAGGGTTCTGTAGAACCTTAGAGTACTTCCAGAGATTGCATAACCTGTGGCTGATTGACCTCCCATTTGATGGTGCCGGCATAGTTCCATGGCCCATCACCACTTGGTAAAAACCATCAGCATGACACCAGTGATCTTTTTAGCTATCTGTAAGGGTGACATTTTGGCAATTCCTCCTACTGACCATCAATATAAAGGGCATTTTGTCCATTGACCCTACTAAATTGGTTTTAGTAAGGGTTCCCTAAGACTTAAGAAATCATATTAGGGGCTCCTCTAGGGTAAAAAGGCTGAAAAACACTATTCTAGATTATTGTCTCCTGAACAGGTGACCCTATTGGAAAACTAAAATAAAAAAAAATTGCTGCCTTTAGATATACTTTTAAAGGGTAAAGCAGTATTAAACCTAAAACCAAATCTTTATTACAGTATGTATCAGCTTGCTAATGATTATATGGGGTGGCTGCATTCGTTTTTGTAGGCTTCTTTCCCCTTTGTTTTCACCTGGTGATCTGGCCAGTAACACATCTCCTGTATTAGAGTGCCTCCACTATGGATGAAGGAGCACAGGGGAACTACTGTTAAGGGGGGGGGGGGGGGTCTTAGATGTACTTACAGATTTAGATACACTAACAAATTGAAGATGAACTCCATCTAATACTTTATAAGCAGTAACAGCAAGGACTTTTTTTTTTCCTTTTGAGATACTGTAAAGGTTTTGGATAGAGCAACCCATATGGAAGAAAAATATATTTGAAATATAAAAATGTTCTTCCCAAATATATTGACATATATTTGAACTGCTACAATTTTGGCCATATTCAATATATTTCAAAATATATTTCAATAAATATATATATATATATATATATATATATATATCTCATGTTGAAATGCGTTTTTTATGTGTTACAAAATATCTGAAAAATATTTTTAAAAATATATTTTTTAAAAATATATTCTTCCGATTTTTTTTAACATATAAAAAGGTCATTTTAACATATATTACATACAGTATATTTGAAATGTATTTTTAAAAATACTTTTCATATATTTTCCCATAAAAACACATTTCAACATGCAGTGTATATGTATGTATATATATATTTTATTATTTTTTTTTTTTATTATTGAAAAATATTTTGAAATATATTGAATATGGCCAAAATTGTAGCATTTCAAATGCTTTCATTTAATTTCAACATGCAGTATATATATATATATATATATATATATATATATATAGAATATGACTAAAATTGTAGCATTTCAAATGTATGTCAATATATTTGGGAAGAATATTTTTAAAATATTTCAAATATATTTTTCTTCTATGTGGGAAGGAGGGGCTGGAGCCTTCGTCATTTTTTTTAAGTGTCTGCACAGTTGGAAGATTTCACATCACTTCCTATTTATACGAGTGTCACAGGGACAGTAGATGATGGAAAATATCTCCAGTGGGGTCATAGGCAGAACTTTTTATTGTTCTTCATTCTACCCAAAACACAAACTGCATAAATGAATAAGCCCTCCTGTCAATGTTACATGGTTTTTCTCAACCCTCTAATTGCTACATCTGCAGTTCTGTTGAAAAACAACAGATTTGCTGGCCACATCACCAGATGAATTCAACCCTCCCGGCCCTCCAGGAGCGTCTAAGTGCTGGGAGGCGGAGGCGGGCATTCAGGTCATGTGATTGGCTGTCACAGCGGTCACATGATCGGAAAGCTCCTGATCACAAGTATGCATCGGGAGCTTTCCGATCCCTGCTGATAACTGGAAGCGCACAGAAAAGTGTTTACATAGGGCTGCATATATGCGGCTTCTCTGCGTTAAGTCGTTTGGCGGGGGGAGGTTAAAGGAAAACAGGCCTAAAAAAAAAAACTAATGCAGCCATCACATCTAAGAATTGGTAAGCTGCAATATAATACATTTTTTGCTTTTGGTTTAATGTCACTTTAAGCTAGCCATACTCTGATCAAAGTTTGGCTGGTTCAGCAGGGACTGGTCACATTTTGATTGTGGTGTGGCCATCCCCGCTCAACAGAAGTCAGTCGTTTGATCGACAAACATAAGCTTGGGACCTCTGCTAAAAGAAAATTGTGCTGACCGTATCACCATGAATTTGAATTCAATACCCCTGGGCTGCAGTATATGGAAAGTCTGTTCTAGGTATAGTGAGTGGGCCAAGTTCCACACTGTTAAGCCATGTCCATTGATGAAGAAAGAGTCAGCTGTAGCTGTTGAAGAAAGAGAAAAGTAATTTAACTCCTTCACACCGGAGCTTTTCCTGGCCCTTTAACCACCTCCCGTCCAGCCGTTGTATATAAACGGCCTGACGGTGGCAGTGCAGGGTCGGGTGGCTGTTTATAAACGGCCTCCCCGCACCCTGCTTGTACGCGCTCCCTGGGAGTGCACAGCACCGCGTTCCGGTGCCCGCTGTGTCCTCCGGACACAGTGGAATACCGATCGTCAGACGGGACCTCTGTACGAGGTCCCGATCATGTGATCACTGATTGGCCAATCAGTTATCACATGCAGAGTAGTAAGCAAGATGTCACTTGTGACATCATTGCTTACTACGTGTGAAATCTGTGAATGATCAAAGAGATCACATGGTACAAGGCTATTCACAACAGCCTTGTACCATGTGACAAGCTGTGACCAATCACAGCTCACTCAGTAGTTCTCAATGGCTGCAAGAATGCAGCTAGAGAGAAGGAGAAATTATTGCTTTTACAGCCTTTATGGGTGTAAAAGCAATCGGTGTAAAAAAAAAAAAAAAAAATCTTCATCACCCCCCACAAGTAAGTAGTGCTAGGGTGACAGTATGTAAAAAAAATAAAATAAAAATAATATAAAAAAATGTAAAACAAATGTTTAAAAATTATAATTTTTGGTTATAAACTAATCTGGGTTATTTTTTTTTTACTAAAAATATAACGGAATATATTTTGGCCAGGATTTATGATGAAATATTATTTAATTGCAAAATTGTATAAGAAAAACACTTTTTTTTCAAAATTTTTGGACTTTTTAATTTACATAGCAAAAAAAATAAAAATCCCAGTGGTGAATAAATACCACCAAAATAAAGCTTTATCTGTCTCAAAAAAATGCTAAAAAATTCATATGGGTACAGTGTTGCATGACCGCGCAATTGTTATTCAAAGTGTGATAGCACTGAAAGCTGAAAATTGGCCTGGACAGGAGGGGGTAAAAGTCTCCGGACTGGAAGTGATGAGGAGTTTCAGAAGCTGGGAGGCGGGGCGGGGTTTAGGGTCATGTGACCGCCGTGACGCGCTGTCACGGCGGTTACATGATCGGGAAAGGTCCCGATCGAAAGAGGAGATCGGAACCTTTCCGTGAGAACCGGACATGTGTGCAGGGAGTGCGCAGGGCGCGTGCTCTCGGCACATATGTCCTTTTTTAATAGAACGTGAATTTGTGGCCACTCGGCGTCTGGGGAGGCCGCACATTTGCGTTTGGCTGGCGTGAAGAGGTTAAAGAAAGAAAAGTAGGGAGTCGCACAGAGAAACTTAAAACGGTTGTAAACCTCAGAAATGAAATCTGAACAAAGTATATATTGCTGTAGTGTTTACTTGCCTCTCTCTAGAGCAGTAAATGTCATTTCTGTCTGCTGCCTCGTTCCTCTGCTATCAACATGGGTCGTTTTTGACGAGCTTTCCTGACTACCAAGAGAAAAAAGGTGATGGGGAGGGAGCTCCAGTTGATTGACAGCCTCAGCTCTGTTCCTTTGAGCTGTGTGAAGGAGGGGTGTGTCCCTTTCCTCCAATCAGCTCTCAGAGATCTTGTACAGTGTGTAACTGCAGCTCCCCGCCCCCTGCTCTGTGAGCCTGTGAAAAATCCTTTTCATCTCTTGAGTTTTACAAGGGTGTACAGGACAAATGGCTGCAAATAAACAGGTACAACTTATATAAGAAGATTTGATTCACGCTGGAATACAAGATTAGCTCACTGACTGGTTATTTTTTTTTCTGTGTTCTTTTAGGATGAGAATTACCAAAATCGCAATAAACTTTTTTTTTTTTTTATCAATCTCACAGCCCTCCAATACACTTTGGATGCTGATTTTGACAGACGACCTACCCGGGTGAGGTTTCAAGGGGCCACTGGAGCTGTATACAAGGGCTTCTTCTCAATGCCAGAGACTCCGTGCCAGAATCTCCAGCTTCTCCTAGTGGTGAGTGAAGATCTGTCCCCACGGTGCATGAACAAAAAACACGGCATAACTACCAATACAACTTGATCATTAGGGAGCCTCAACTTGATGTAAACACATCTTAACTTGTCCTCCAGAGGATTTCCCCTCTTCCTGACCAGGCCATTTTTTTGCGATACGGCGGTGCATTACTTTTAACGGACAATTGCACGGTCATGCAACGCTGCACCAAATGTAATTTATGTCCTTTTAAGTTGGCATAAATGATCTGGTTCCTAAGCAGGAGGCTTCTACACCCCAGAGGATCTCCACAATCTTTTGAAACGAGAATGGAAAGTGAAGTGCCACACCACTGCTAAAGAGGCCAAATACAATTTCATTCCATTCAATTTCAGACAACCCAAAAAAAGTAGCCAAAGTAGCCAACGCATTTCGGAGGTCCAAGCGCCCCCTTTGTCAGGGCCTGACTGGCAACAATGTGAAACAAACCAGAAGTGAACTGGACCTACAATGGTATGCTCCCTTGTCTCCTCCTCCCATGCTCATCTCCAGAACTTCTCCAGAGCCTCCCGCTTCCTCTGGAACTCTCTACCCCAATCTATCAGACTATCGCCTACTCTGCTCACTTTTAGGCAATCTCTGCAAACCTATCTCTTCAGGGAAGCCTTTCCTGCCCTCAGCTAATAATGGAATCTTCTATTCCTTCTACCAGTCCATCCCCCACAGTTATTACCTTTTGTACCACGAGGTAGATTGTAAGCTCCAAGGCCCTCTTGACCCTCTTGTATTGAACTGTATTGTTGCTGTATTGTCTCCCTTTATATTGTAAAGTGCTGAGCAAACTGTTGGTGCTATATAAATCCTGTATGATAATAATATTTTTTCCAGTGTGAATTACAAGCACAGGTCTTGTCTGGCTACTTTTTTGGATTGTACCCCTGACTTATAATGGAATAATCTGGACCTTAGCAGTGGTGTGGGGCTTCAAATTCAATCCTCGTTGCAGGACTAAGAAGAACAAAGGAGATCTTGGAATGAGGGGATGTGCACCGTAGGTCCCGAATGTGAACTTTTTCCAGGGGCAGACCAGTAAATAATAAAAAACCCTCAGTCCTCATGCACTGTCAGGGCAGGGCTGTGGAACGGACAGGTAGGCCTAGTGGCAGGGTAACGCACTGGCTGACGACAACCACCACCAACAGACCGAAGTCCCTCAGGGCGCGGAGTCTAAGTCCCAGGCTGCCCTTCACCAGGGCCCCTGATGGTGGGGATGGACTTGACGCAGCCAGGAATCAGGTCGCGGCCCCCGAGACACCCCGGCTGCGGTAATGGCCGCCGCCAATGGCGTGTAGCTGGTGAGAATGACAATAGCGTAGTCAGGCAAGCTGGGTCAACAACAACGGGACAAAACAGTACAGAACAGTAGACAGAGAATCACAGGTCACGGGCCGGGTTCAGCAACGGAAGGTCAGATCGAAGGAAAACACAGAGAATGGTCTAGTCACAAGCCGAGTCAAATACCAGAAGAGTCACGAGCACATACACAGAGCTGTAGCAAGACAAAGACACAAGACACAAGTGCAAAGAGCATGTGCGGATCACAGGCTTATATGTACTCAGCCACACCCCTCTGGGGGATGGACCTCAGAGACCTGAAGGCATAAAAGCTTCCCACCATGCTCAGCATAAATCCAAGATGGATGCCAGCACATGGTGTAACATAACCTCTGGGAAAAGGTAGGACCTTGACAGTACCTCCTCCTCAAGGGCCCTTCCCCCTCCGCGGCTCAACAAAAAGGTTTCTGAGGAAAGCGGGTATGAAAAACGCGGAGGAGGGCAGGAGCATGGACATCCGCGGAAGGAACCCAGGAACGCTCCTCGGGACCATAACCGCGCCAATGAACCAGGAACTGTAATCGACCCGCGCACCAATCGAGAGTCCAGGATCCGGCTCACCTCATACTCCTCATGACTGTCAACCCGAATGGGATGGGGCCGAGGCAGAGAGGTAGTGAAGCGATTGCAGATCAGAGGTTTCAACAGTGATACATGAAAGATATTGGAGATCCGCATCCCAGGTGGAAGGGCAAGGGCATAGGCCACCGGATTCACCTTGCGGAGAATGCGAAAAGGACCAACAAAACGGGGAGCTAGATTGAGGTTACGAGTAGACAACCACACCCGATCGCCGACCTGGTATGAAGGAGCGGGCAACCGTCTGCGATCAGCCTGGAACTTCTGACGCTGAGCCGAGTCCCTCAAAGCCCTCTGGATCTGCCCCCATGAAGAACGCAGGGCAGCAAGATGGTTCTCCACAGCCGGAATGTCCTGTGGTGAGAACCTCTCAGGTAATACCGCAGGTTGGTACCCATAGTTGGCCATGAAGGGAGACATCCCGGAGGAGGAGTTGACGCGCTGAGTTCCTGGCAAACTCTGCCCAAGGCAGGAGATCGGCCCAATCGTCCTGATGGTCCGAGATATAACACCGAAGGAATTGTTCTAAGGCCTCATTGGAACGCTCCGCAGCCCCATTGGACTGCGGGTGGTAGGCTGAAGAAAAGGAGAGACTAATACCCAACTGGGAGCAGAAGGCGCGCCAGAATCTGGACACGAACTGACTCCCGCGGTCCGAGACAATCACCTTGGGCAACCCATGCAGGCGAAAAATCTCCCTGGAAAAGACCGTGGCCAGTTCTTGCGCTGTTGGTAATTTCCTGAGTGGAATACAATGGCACATTTTGGGAAAAAACGATCGACGACCATGAGAATGACCGTATGACCCCGAGACACAGGGAGGTCTACAATAAAGTCCATGCCCAGGTGTGACCAAGGACGCTCCCCATTGGGAATGGGTTGCAGAAGACCCATTGGAAGATGCCGTGGAGATTTATTCTGGGCACAGATCGAACATGCCGCTACATAAGAGGCGATGTTGGCACGGAGAGTTGGCCACCAGAACAACCGAGAGACGACCCAAGACAACTGGTTCCTCCCCGGATGCCCGGCAGTTTTGGAGTTATGGTAAGTACGCAGCAGACGGGTGCGCAACCCCTCGGGTACAAAACATCTACCCTCCGGTCTCTCGGGAGGAGCGTCAGTTTGAGCCGCCAAAATCTGCTCCCCAAGGGGAGAAGTCAGACTGGTGCGAATGGCAGCCAGGATCTGATCTGGAGGTATGACCGAGGCTGGCTCAGAGTCCTCCCTGGACAACTCAGAGTATTGCCGCGATAATGCATCAGCCCTGACATTCTTGGAACCAGGCAAATAGGAGACCACATAGTTGAACCGCGACAAAAACAAGGCCCATCTGGCCTGACGGGGTGTCAATCTTTTGGCCTCCGAAAGATAAGTCAGGTTCTTATGATCGGTAAGAATGAGGACCGGAACCGCGGAGCCCTCGAGCAGGTGCCTCCATTCCTTGAGAGCCAGTATGATTGCCAACAACTCCCTATCTCCAATCTGGTAGTTGCACTCTGCAGAGGAAAGCTTCCTGGAGTAGAAACCACAGGGAAGTAGGGGTCCATCGGGCGACCGACGTTGAGACAGGGAGAGCGCCTACTCCAGTCTCGGATGCATCGACCTCAAGGACGAAGGGCAATCCAGGATTGGGATGAGACAGTATCGGAGCCGAAGCGAAGGCGGATTTCAGAGCCTCGAAAGCTACGATGGCCTCGGATGACCACTCGTGAGGATTACTGCCCTTCTTGGTTAGGTCTGAGAGAGGCTTTGCCAGCGTGGAGAAGTTCCTGATGAACTTCCGATAGTAGTTGGCAAAACCCAAAAAACGCTGAATGGGCCGAAGACCATTGGGACGAGGCCACTGCAGAACCGCCGAAACCTTCTGAGGGTCCATGGAGAATCCCTCCGCAGATATGATGTAGCCTAAAAAGGCAACTTGGGATCGATGGAATTCACACTTCTCAAGTTTCCAAAAAAGTTCGTTCTCACGTAATCGTTGCAGCACCTGCTTGACATCCTGGATATGGGACTCCATGGAGGCAGAGTAAACCAGGATGTCATCCAAGTAAACTACCACGCACTGCTGCAACAAGTCACGCAGGACATCATTTATGAATTCCTGAAAAACTGCGGGCACGTTACACAACCGAAGGGCATCACCAGGTATTCGTAGTGGCCGGTTCTGGTGTTAAACGCGGTCTTCCACTCATCCCCCTGTTTGATCCGTACGAGGTTGTACGCCGCCCTAATGTCAAGTTTGGTAAAGACTGTTGCCCCCTTAAGGCGGTCGAACAACTCAGTAATCAAGGGAATCGGGTATGCATTCTTAGTGGTGATTCGATTGAGACCCCTATAATCAATGCAGGGCCTCAATTCACCACCCTTCTTCTTTACAAATAAAAAGCCTGCTCCAGCTGGGGAAGTAGACTTACGAATGTGCCCCCGGGAAAGCGCATCCGCAACGTACTCCTCCATGGCCTTATTCTCCGCAACCGAGAGAGGATACACCCTGCCACGTGGAGGAGTGGCACCGGGTTGCAAGGATATGGCGCAGTCGTAAGGACGATGAGCAGGTAAGGCACCAGCGCGTACCTTATCAAACACGTCCTGGTACTCCCCATAATCAGTGGGCAACGCAGAGTCTGAGGAGGCACACAACACCTTAACCGGCCCACGGATGCACCCGGCCCCACACTGTGGAGACCACGAGAGAATCTCGGCAGTTTGCCAATTGAAGGTTGGATTGTGCATCTGGAGCCAGGGATACCCCAAAACCACCGAATAGTGCGGAGAAGAAATCACCTGGAAACAGGCCAACTCCCTGTGAACAGCCCCAATAGCTACTTCAACTGGCATAGTCTCGTGGGTAACTTGCGGTGGTTGCAGGGGCCTGCCATCTATTGCCTCGAGAACCAATGGGGTAACTCGAGCCTGCAGGGGATTGGAGTGCTGGGCAGCAAACGAGCTGTCCATAAACAACCCGCCGGCCCCAGAATCTTCCAACGCCTGGGCCGTCACCGAGCCCTCCGCCCAAGAGAGGACAACGGTGATCAGTGGCTTATCTCTGCGGAACGCCGGGGACGAGGAGACTCCACCCAAGATCTGTCCCCGACAGGATCTCAGGTGCGAGCGTTTCCCGGACGGACCGGACAGGACCGCCAAAAGTGCCCACCAAGACCACAGTACAGGCAGCGACCCTCCTGACGCCGAGCGGCCCGCTCTCCCTCGGAAAGGCGAGCAAACCCCAGCTGCATGGGCTCACCACCAGACAAGCTATCCCCAGGAGGCGTGGGAGGAGAGGGAGGAATGGGTGGGACAGAAAACGCAGGTGCCAGTCGATTGGAAGGCCTCCGCAGGCGTTCCTTGAGTGAAGGCCTCTCCCTGAGCCTGGTATCAATCAGGATCAGGAAGGAAATTAGTGCTTCCACAGGCAATTCCTTGGCTGCGATCTCGTCCTTCAATGCATCAGAAAGACCCTGAGAAAACGCAGCCACCAGAGCCTCATTGTTCCAACCCACCTCTGCTGCCAGGGTACGAAACTCTATGGCGTACTCGGCAACGGTCCCGTGAACCCTGATGCATAGACATGAGCAGCTTGGCAGCCGAGGCGGAGCGAGCCGGTACGTCGAATACCCTACGGAAGGCATCGACAAAACCGGAAAACTCGTGAATCACTGGGTCATTCCTCTCCCATAAGGGATTCGCCCAGGCCAAGGCCTTGTCTGAGAGTAGCGATATTAGGAAACCCACCTTTGACCTCTCAGTCGGAAAAGCGTGGGGTATTAATTCGAAGTAAATCCCCACCTGGTTGAGGAAACCACGACACTGACGACTCGGCTCACCCCCAAAGCGCTGTGGAAGAGGGGCTGAACCAGTCATACCTCTGGGCGCCGCGGGTACCGCAGCAGCCGCGGCGGTAGGCGCAACCAGCGGAACAGCAGCGGGAGCGACCACCGGAGTGACAACCGGCCTAACAACACCAGGAGTAAGGTGCGCGTTGCGTGCCAACAGAGTTTGCAACGCCTGAGCGAACTGATCCAACAGGAGATCCTGTTGATCCAGTCTGGCGACCAACATTGGAAGTGAAGGCGTACCTGCACCGTCAGGATTCATGGCACTTGTGTAATGTCAGGGCAGGGCTGTGGAACGGACAGGTAGGCCTAGTGGCAGGGTAACGCACTGGCTGACGACAACTACCACCAACAGACCGAAGTCCCTCAGGGCGCGGAGTCTAAGTCCCAGGCTGCCCTTCACCAGGGCCCCTGATGGTGGGGATGGACTTGACACAGCCAGGAACCAGGTCGCGGCCCCCGAGACACCCCGGCTGCGGTAATGGCCGCCGCCAATGGCGTGTAGCTGGTGAGAATGACAATAGCGTAGTCAGGCAAGCTGGGTCAACAACAACGGGACAAAACAGTACAGAACAGTAGACAGAGAATCACAGGTCACGGGCCGGGTTCAGCAACGGAAGGTCAGATCGAAGGAAAACACAGAGAATGGTCTAGTCACAAGCCGAGTCAAATACCAGAAGAGTCACGAGCATATACACAGAGCTGTAGCAAGACAGACACAAGTGCAAAGAGCATGTGCGGATCACAGGCTTATATGTACTCAGCCACACCCCTCTGGGGGATGGACCTCAGAGACCTGAAGGCATAAAAGCTTCCCACCATGCTCAGCATAAATCCAAGATGGATGCCAGCACATGGAGTAACATAACCTCTGGGAAAAGGTAGGACCTTGACATGCACACGGGACGTTTTTACAGCGGCTGTTTTTGGCTTTTGATGTTTTTTTTCTACAGCTAGTAAACCCCCCAGCATGTTATCCTATGTGTCCATTCACACATAGACTGGAATCAACATTTTTTGACTGGGACGTTTTTTGGCTGGAAAAATCCTTGCCCTGGGCACTTGATGAGCTTGTCCCGATACTGATATGTGGGATCTGGGCACCATGTCAAAGTCTTTTTCCATGGAATTTTTTGTCGAGGTAAGCCGCCAGATCTTTCTTCAACCCTACTATTTACATGGGCTTGGAAAACAAACCCAGAGCTAGTGGGTTTCTGGAGGAGTTTATCTGGAAAAAGGCTCTAATGCTGAAAAAACGCAGTAAAACACTGCAAACTGGCATTTGTGGATTTTTTTTTGGTAAAAAAAAAGGCTAAAAAACATGGGAAAACGTGTCTAAACGCGGTAAAACGCAAAAACCGCTAAAAAAGCTGAAAAACTCAAATTTTTAACGTGACTAACGTTACCAGCGTTATCAAAATGTTCATTATGCATGAGGGCTTATGTATCAGGGCCAGGGCAAGGGGTGGGCAGGAGGGGCAGCTGCCCTGGGCACAGAGGAACAAGGAACAGAGAATTGACACTGGACATTCTATGGCATGAATTAACAGTGGGGGGAGGGGGTGCGATTACACATCCTTTCCCTGGGCACTTGATGAGCTTGTCCCGATACTGATATGTGGGATCTGGGCACCATGTCAAAGTCTTTTTCCATGGAATTTTTTGTCGAAGTAAGCCGCCAGATCTTTCTTCCATCCTACTATTTACATGGGCTTGTAGAGGGACAGGTCCATCCAGCACCCAGGGCAAGGATGCAGAACTGGAAATTGGCTGGAAAAAAAACCCAGGACTAGTGGGTTTCTAGAGGAGTTTTTTAGCTGGAAAAAATGCTCTAACGCTGAAAAAACGCAGCAAAATGCGGTAAAAAACACCACAAACTGGCGTTTTTGGATTTTTTTTTATCAGAAAAAAAATTTTTTTTGGTAAAAAAAAAGGCTAAAAAAACATGGAAAAATGCGGGAAAACATGGCTAAACTCGGTAAAACCGCCGCTAACCGCTAATACAAAAAACGCTAAAAAAAGCTGAAAAACTCACGTTTTTAACGTGACTTTACACAACTAACGTTACCAGCGTTACCAAAACGTTCACTGTGCATGAGGGCTTATGTAACAGGGCCAGGGCAAGGGGTGGGCAGGAGGGGCAGCTGCCCTGGGCACAGAGGAACAAGGGGCAGAGAATGGACACTGGACAGTAAAATTAACAGTGGGGGAGGGGGTGCGATTCCAAATCCTTGCCCTGGGCACTTGATGAGCTTGTCACGATACTGATATGTGGAATATGGGCACCATGTCAAAGTCTTTTTCCATGGAATTTTTTGTCGAGGTAAGCCGCCAGATCTTTCTTCAACCCTACTATTTACATGGGCTTGTAGAGGGACAGGTCCATCCAGCACCCAGGGCAAGGTTACAGAACTGGAAATTGGCTAAAAAAAAAAAACCCAGGACTAGTGGGTTTCTAGAGGAGTTTTTTTAGCTGGAAAAAATGCTCTAACGCCGTAAAACGCTGCAAAACACAGTAAAATGCCGCAAAGCGATGCTTTGGAACTTCTGTTGACACCTCAAAATTTTTTGGGGGGATAAAAAAAACACAAACGCGGGAAAACGCCGTTTAACAAAGCAAAACGCTGCTAAACGCCAATACAAAAAAGCTGAAAAAATCAGGTTTTTAACGTGACTTTATGCGGCTAATGTTACCAGCGTTATCAAAATGTCCCGTGTGCGTGAGGACTTAAATCCAGAATTTCAGTTGTTTAAAAATGTTTATTACTTATTATAGAAACCTAAAGGGAGGTCATTAGCTGTCATCACCCATCAATCTGGGAGGAGGAGCCTGAGCATGGCGGCGAGGGAGAGTGTGGAGCAGGGGCGGACTGACAACTCATGGGGCCCCTGGGCAATAGGGGATCATGGGGCCCCTGTGTCCTCACCCACACTCAAACCACACCCAAAAAAAGCCTATGAAAGGTACCAGGGACATCTCATGGGGCCCCCTACTGACCCTGGGCCCTCGGGCAGTGCCCAAGTTCCCCAATGGTCAGTCCACCCCTGGTGTGGAGTAAGCACTCTCTGACAGCCGTCCTTCCTATCCTCCCTAAGTGCCCTCATAGCTGCAGAGGATGACCACCGGAGACCTACCTGTGAGAGGGAAGGTCTCGGCGGAGGAGAAGTGGCCCGAGCGGGGTGAAGAGGTGGCGAGGCTTCCAGCGTTCGGCCGTGGTCTGACAGCTGCGGTCCCTGGATGGACCTAAAGGAACGACAGCATGACCAAAGACCACATGGTCCATTGAGTCTGCACTTTTTTGTGTGTGTTTTGGAGTTATAGTCTTCATTATTTTTTGTTTGAGGTTTATATACACACATATCAACCTAAATCCCACTGTGGTTTTCTTTTTTTTCCCACAGTTTGTTTAAACACATTAAATACACCGTATTCTTTCACAGGGGAGTGACATAGAATAGACAGTTTTCACAGTATAACACAGATCATTAGAATCCTTGGCATACACACCAAACCACATCATTACAGGAACATTCCGTGCTGCAGAAACGCTACATTTGTTCCTACTTGCATCGTATGCAATGTATAGTTGAAATTCTTTACCTACTTTCTGTGCTTATCAGCGTTTTATTTTATTCACATTGCAGGACAATATTCGAGATAAGCTGCATCCTATCCGAATCTCGTTAAAATATGCCATTCTGGAACGGGATCTGAAGCCTCGCACTAATGTGGCTTCATTGGACAACTTCCCCGTGCTCAACCAAGATCAGAGTACAGAGCAAATTGTGGAGGTAAACAGCACAAAAAGTTTCATTTTGTTTTGGATAGAGCAGCCTATATGGAAGAAAAATATACTTGAAATATATTTTTAAAATATTCTTCTCAAATATATTGACACATATTTGAAATGCTACAATTTTGGCCGTATTTAATATATTTCAATAAATCTCTCTTTCTCTCTCTCTCTATAGTTATATATATATATATATATATATATATATATATATATATGTATGTGTGTGTGTGTGTGTGTGTGTGTGTGTATATATATATATATATATATATATATATATATATATACACACACACTGCATGTTGAAATGTGTTTTTTTATATATAACAAAATATAGGAAAAATATTTTTGAAAATGTATTTTTTTTTAATATATACTCTTCAGATTTTTTTTTAACACACAGAAAAGTCATTTTAACATATATTTTTACATATATCTGTTGATGCATTTGAAAAAATGTAGATTTGTTTTTTTAAAGACATACAGTATATTTGAAATGTATTTTTTAAAAATATATTTTGTTTAAATATATTCAGTTTTTTTTTAACATATAAAAAAGTCATTTTAACATACATTTTTACATATATTTGTAAATACATAAAAAAAGTAGATTTGTATTTTTAAAGACACACAGTATATTTGAAATGTATTTTAAAAAATATTTTTCATATATCTTGTAAGAAAAACGCTTCTCAACATGCAGTGTGTGAGAGAGAGAGAGAGAGAGAGAGAGAGAGAGAGAGAGAGAGAGAGAGAGAGAGAGAGAGAGAGAGATGCACGCATGCACGCACACACACGTATGTGTATGTTGAGAAGCGTTTTTCTTACAAAATATATGAAAAATATTTTTTTAAATACATTTCAAATATACTGTATTTCTTTAAAAATACAAATCTACATTTTTTTAATGTATTGACAAATAAATATATGTAAAAATGTATGTTAAAATGACTTTTTTTATATGTTAAAAAAAATCTGAATATATTTAAACAAAATATATTTTTAAAAATATTTTTCATACATTTTGTAATATATAATAAACACATTTCAACATGCAGTGTGTGTATATATCTATATCTATATAGATATATATATATATACAAATATACACACACTGCATGTTGAAGTGCGTTGTTATTATAAAATATATGAAGAATATTTTTTAAAATACATTTCAAATATACTGTATGTCTTTAAAAATACAAATCTACATTTTTTGAATGTATTTACAAATATATGTAAAAATGTATGTTAAAATTACTTTTTTATATGTTAAAAAAAGATCTGAATATATTTAAACAAAATATATTTTTAAAAATATTTTTCATATATTTTGTAAGAAAAACGCATTTCAACATGCAGTGTGTGTGTTATATATATATATATATATATATATATATATATATATATATATATATATATATATATATAGCCCCACTGTTGGTGTCAGTGACAGGAATTATATTCTCCTTTGTTAAGTGGGAGGAATAGTGCCTCAAGGGCTGGATGAAGGCCAGCAAAGAGCCACATCTGGCCCCTGGGCCGCAGTTTGGAGACCACTGATCTAATGCATCAGATATAGAGATACTAACAAAATCTGTTTTAAAATAGAAGCACAGACAAACCTTTTATGACCATACTTCTCTTTTGGGTCACAGGAGTACCTTTGCTAATGTTCTGTGGCTACCAGGGCAATGAGAAAACCAGAAATCCCAAATATTATATATCAAATATTTAAGGGAATATTTATTAGTGAGTTTGAATTTTCTCATGTGTGTTTAATGTGATGCATCTTATCTCTGGGGAATTCTTTGGCTGGGGAATTCTGGAAAGAATAATGTTTACATTGGGATACTAAAAGAGCTTTAGGATGTAAAACATGCTTTAAGGTAAAGAAAAAAAACTTTTTTTTAATAAAAAATAGGACTACACCCATTAAATTGGGAGCACGATGTGTATTTTAATGCCAACAAGTCTAGATGGACTTTCTTGGTGGACCAGAGCAAATATTCTTCTGCGCTTTATAGGTTTAGTCTTGATGTTTGCAACTATCAGTAGGAAACCCACAATATAAGAAACACAAAAGAGCGAAGATAAAAAAATGTATTCTATTCAAGGTTATGCTTGGTTTTCTGCAGATGGCAGTATGATGTTTCTATAGTGACCTCTAGTGGTTGTTTGCTGTAAATGTGTAATTACGTAAATGAGCAACCTGTGTTTTCTCATACACTATATGGGCAAAATTATGTGGGCACCTGATCATCACTCCTACTCTGTATGGGTAACAGTACGTGGACAGCTGACCATCACTCCTACTCTATATGGGTAACAGTACGTGGACAGCTGATCATCACTCCTACTCTGTATGGGTAATAGTACGTGGACAGCTGACCATCACTCCTACTCTGTATGGGTAACAGTACGTGGACAGCTGACCATCACTCCTACTCTATATGGGTAATAGTACGTGGACAGCTGACCATCACTCCTACTCTATATGGGTAACAGAATGTGGACACCTGACCATCACTCCTACTCTGTATGGGTAACAGTACGTGGACAGCTGACCATCACTCCTACTCTATATGGGTAAGATTACGTGGACAGCTGATCATCACTCCTACTCTATATGGGTAAGATTACGTGGACAGCTGACCATCACTCCTACTCTGTATGGGTAACAGTACATGGACAGCTGACCATCACTCCTACTCTATATGGGTAACAGAATGTGGACAGCTGACCATCACTCCTACTCTATATGGGTAACAGTACGTGGACAGCTGACCATCACTCCTACTCTATATGGGTAACAGAATGTGAACAGCTGACCATCACTCCTACTCTATATGGGTAACAGTATGTGGACAGCTGACCATCACTCCTACTCTATATGGGTAACAGTATGTGGACACCTGACCATCACTCCTACTCTATATGGGTAACAGTATGTGGACACCTGACCATCACTCCTACTCTATATGGGTAACAGTACGTGGACAGCTGACCATCACTCCTACTCTATATGGGTAACAGAATGTGGACAGCTGACCATCACTCCTACTCTATATGGGTAACAGTACATGGACAGCTGACCATCACTCCTACTCTATATGGGTAACAGAATGTGGACAGCTGACCATCACTCCTACTCTATATGGGTAACAGTACGTGGACAGCTGACCATCACTCCTACTCTATATGGGTAACAGAATGTGGACAGCTGACCATCACTCCTACTCTATATGGGTAACAGTACGTGGACAGCTGACCATCACTCCTACTCTATATGGGTAACAGTACGTGGACAGCTGACCATCACTCCTACTCTATATGGGTAACAGTATGTGGACACCTGATCATCACTCCTATTGTATATGGGTAACAGTATGTGGACAGCTGACCATCACTCCTACTCTATATGGGTAACAGTATGTGGACACCTGACCATCACTCCTACTCTATATGGGTAACAGTACATGGACAGCTGACCATCACTCCTACTCTATATGGGTTACAGTATGTGGACACCTGACCATCACTCCTACTCTATATGGGTAACAGTATGTGGACAGCTGATCATCACTCCTACTCTGTATGGGTAATAGTACGTGGACAGCTGACCATCACTCCTACTCTATATGGGTAACAGTATGTGGACAGCTGAAAATCACTCCTATTGTATATGAGTAACAGTATGTGGACAGCTGACCATCACTCTGTCAAGGTCCTACCTTTTCCCTGAGGTTATGTTACTCCATGTGCTGGCGTCCATCTTGGATTCTGCTGTGCATGGTGGGAATCCTTTTATGCCTTCAGGTCTCTGAGGTCCACCCCCCAGAGGGGCGTGGCTGATGACATATAAGCCTGTGGCCCGCACATGCTCTTTGCACTTGTGTCTTTGTGTTGCTATTACTCTGTTCTGACTCTCGTGACTCTCCTGGTATCTGATTTGGCTTGTGACTTGACTATTCTTTGTATTCTCCTTTGATCTGACCCTCTGTTGCTGAACCCGGCTCGTGACCTGTGATTCTCGTCTGCTGTCCTGTACTGTTTTGTCCTGTTATTGTTGACCCCGGCCTGTCTGACTACACTTTTGTCTCTTCCACCAGCTACACGCCATTGGCGGCGGCCATTACCGCAGCTGAGGTGTCTCGGGGGCCGCGACCTGGTTCCTGGCTGCGTCAAGTCCATCCCCACCATCAGGGGCCCTGGTGAAGGGCAGCCTGGGACTTAGACTCTGCGCCCTGAGGGACTTCGGTCTGTGGGTGGTGGTTGTCGTCAGTCAGTGCGTTACATTGTTAGGCCTGCCTGTCCGTTCCTCGGCTCCTGCCCTGACACACTCCTATTGTATATGAGTAACAGTATGTGGACAGCTGACCATAGTACCTACTTCATATGGGTAACAGTACGTGGACACCTGACCATCACTCCTACTCTATATGGGTAAAAGTATGTGGACACCTGATCATCACATCTACTCTATATGGGTAAAAGTAGGTGGACACCTAACCATCACACCTACTCTGTATGGGTAAAAGTAGGTGGACACCTAACCATCACACCTACTCTATATGGGTAAAAGTAGGTGGACACCTAACCATCACACCTACTCTATATGGGTAAAAGTAGGTGGACACCTAACCATCACACCTACTCTATTTGGGTAAAAGTATGTGGACACCTGACCATCACACCTACTCTGTATGAGTAAAAGTAGGTGGACACCCTTCCGTCATACCTACTCTATATGTGTAAAAGTGTATGGACACCTGACCATCACACCTACTCTATATGGGTAAAAGAAAGTGCACACCCTTCCATCATACCTACTCTATATGCCTAAAGTACGTGGACACCTGATCATCGCACCTACTCTATATAGGTAAAAGTATGTGGACACCTGACTATCGCACCTACTCTGTATGAGTAAAAGTATGTGGACACCTGACTATCGCACCTACTCTGTATGAGTAAAAGTATGTGGACACCTGACCATCAGATCTACTCTGTATGGCTAAAGTATGTGGACACCTGACCATCACATCTACTCTGTATGGCTAAAGTATGTGGACACCTGACCATCACATCCACTCTGTTTGGGTTAAAGTATGTGGACAACTGACCAATCACACCTACTCTAGTTGGGAAAAAGTATGTGGACACCTCTCCAAATTATTGAGTTCAGGTGTTTATAATAAAGGGTACCGGTAATGCCACGGCATACAAAGAACATATAGACATCTCTGCTAACCATCACACCTACTCTATATGGGTAAAAGTAGGTGGACACCTAACCATCACACCTACTCTATATGGGTAAAAGTAGGTGG